TAACTGCGGCGGGGAGTGGATTAAGTGGAGGAACTTGGGAAACTACCTTGGCAAGTCATAGCTCCCACTGCTGAACATGTGGTCCAGACCTGGGGGTCAGACAAGCTGGGCAAAGTAGCTCCAACAGCTGGCAAATGTGTCAATTGGCAATGGAACAGGGTAGACCAGGCAGGACTAAGTTAACCTTAGCCCACAAGCGAAACTAGAAACCAGCAGGAAGCACAGGTCATGCAGAGCTAAGCTCATGTACCTACTAGTCTGTGTGAACCAGAAATGCTAAGCCACAGTGTCTAAGGTAGAGGTCGGAACAGGCGAGGGGCTGAGTCAAGCTGAGTCAGAGCAACCACTGGCATGTGTGCAATCTATGGCTGGGAACAGGCCCGGTTGGGGAGCTAAGGGGACACCCTAGCTGGGTTGAGGTTCCCACCAAGGGGCATGTGGGCTGAAATGGGGCTACGTTCTGATCACAAAATGATTGCAGTCTCCCTTGGCACAAATGTGGACTGGGATTGGATGCACCGAGCTGGGCCAGACTCCAACACACTCTGGTGTCCTGGAGGACCAGGGTAAATGTACAATGGACTAGGCAAGGTCTCAACCCCTACTGAGTCATGTGTGAGCTGTATGTGGGTATGGACAAACCATGGCTGGGCTGAAACATCCAACAGCAAGGACCAGTTTGGGTTAAAGGCCAGTCAGGAAAAGCCACTGTTCCTGCTAGGACAGGAGGTAAACTGAGTAGTGCTGGCTCATGGACCCACTGGTATGCGCAAAATCTGGCATCGGGAGAGGTTCTGATGGAGGAGCCTGGGCAACTCCTCTGGCAGGACACAGAACCTGCAGGTAAGCTCAAGAAACATTGTAGGAAACAGCCCATAACAGGCAATGGAAAGTTACCCACTGGCATACAGTTGGCATAGGTTGGATCAGTTCATGTCATCCACTGGCAAATCCAAAGGCCAGAACAGAGTGTGGGATGAGCTAGGTTCTGTCACAACAAAAACTAGTGCACAATATGGAATGTCAAGGTGAGGTTGCCTGTACCAGATGTGACCACAGCACCCAACTAGGAATGGAGGGGGCAGAGCCAGCAGGAAGGTATATGAGGTGGTTCTCTTGCTGGATAGCTACTCCCACTGGAAAGAATGAGCTGGAATGGGGGCAGACCAGACTAAGCAGGGCTACAACAGCTGTATGCCTCATGTGGACTAGATCAGGAAAAAGCCTGGCTGGGCTGATTATTCCTACTGCTGCAAAGAAAATTAGAGTGGGTGAGGATTGTTTGGGCTTAGCCACAGCATCAGCTGGCACTGGGGTCTAATTCTCTCAAGTCAAACCACAGAACTACCTGGAGTGCACAATCCGGGAGTGGGAGTGGCCTGGGATGGAAATAGTGGGCTCCTCCCACTTGGGTTACCACTTTCACGGGAGGTCATGAAAACTAGGACAGGGGCTGGAGTGGCTAGAAAGACACCCAACAACATCTATGTGGGCGGCACAGTGGAGCTGCTTAGAGGGAACAAAGCTTTAATACCCTTTGACATGTATGAGAGCCAAATGGGATGTGGGACAGACTGGACTAGTCTGCCACACATACTAGCAAACCAGGGCAGGGGGCGGGCTTGATGGGGGTTATTGTGGGTCTCTCCAAATAGGCTGCAGCTCCCACTTGTTTATGCAAGGGCCGAGTATGTGCTGAGACAGAACCAGGTTGGACTGGAACATCCATTGGTACCCGTGGAAGCGGGGGCTGAAAACAGAATCAACCCAGCAATTGGAACCACCAGCTGATTGGGGTGATGGACTATGCTGAGCCCTGTACTTGCTAGTATATACAAGAATCTGGTTGGAGAACACCTCAGACAAAGTTTCTTTTGAGATCTCCCCAATCGAAATGCTGGACTCAGAACCCTAACCAAGAAAAGACAGAAGACAGAACAGGTCAATCAATCATCTCAGCTATAGGTTGGCAGCAAAATACGGGGCAAACAGAGGATATGATGGACTATGTCAGCCAGTGGATTCTTCAAAGACCTCACCGTGCTTGGAGTGGCAACACTGGCAGCGATTCATAACTGGTGAACTATCAAAGCCACTTGAGCAAGAACCTCGGAGCATGCCCTACATCTGGGACCTTGGGGAGGATGGGAAATTGGTGGGTCTTCTCCCTTAATACCCCCCCCCCCTTTAAACATATAGGAAACAATGTGGAAATAGTAGTCTTACCCACTTTCCTATAGCCCTTGAATCTTTTTACCCTAATTAACTATGTAAGGATTGTCAAAAAATATAATAAAAGATAAATAAACAAAAAAAAGGAAAAAAGAATATGTCTTCTTTGCTGTGGGAAAAAACAGTCTATAGATATCAGTTAGATTTGGTTGGTCAATAGTGTAGATTAACTTTGCTGTTCCCAATTTTTTTGTCTTGTTGATCTATCCATTGGTGAAAGCTGTATTGAAGTCTCCCATTTTGATGGCTGTGAAATCTATGTCTCCCCTCAGATCCATTAACATTTGTTTTAAACAACATGTAGATTGAACAACAAGTTCCTGAATGAATAATAGGTAACACAAGAACTCAAATAGAAAAAAAAAATTAGATGTGAAACAAAGGATAAAATACATCATGTAAAAACTTACAGGATACTGTAAAAGGAGTGCTAAGAAGAAAGTTTATAGCAATTGAGGCTTACCTGAAGAATTTGGAAAGATATCAATGAGTGGTCTAACAATGCCTCTCCAAAGCCTTGAAAAAAAGAAGCAGAGAAGACATGAACAAAATTTCAAGTCAATATAAGAGGCCAATGAAATGAAGATCTGCTTTGAAAGAATTATTGCTTAATTATGAATTTGGATTTACACACACACACAAACAGAGTGAGGGAGTGTTTCCTGTGTGTATCTTCACTCTACCGGATGACCACAATCGGCAGTGTGGGCCAGGCACAGGAGCTTGGTCTAGGTTTCCCATGTAAGCAGCAGGGGTCAGAGCACTTCTGCCAGCTTCCAGTGATTTTCCTGTGTCTTCAGTATAGCATTTAATCAGAAGTGGTATGGCTAGGAAATAACAGGTGACCATATGTTGCAAATGGTGGCTTAATTTGCTGTGATGCAACACTAGCCTGAAGAAATGTTTTTTTTTAATAAACAAAATTGATTAACCATGGAATAAACTAACCAAATAAATAATTAAATAGAGAAGGCATAAGTGGAAAAACTCAGAAATTAAAAAGTAAGATGCTATAAATTAGGCAAGTGGAATGAAAAGTGTCTTTAGAAATTAGAGCAAACAGGGCCTGGCATGATAGTCTAGTGGCTAAAGTCCTGGCCCTGAATGCTCCAGGATCCCATTTGGGTGCTGGTTCATTTTCTAGCTGCTTCACTTTCCTTCCAGCTTGTGATCTGGGAAAGAATTAGAGGATGGCCAAAAGACTTGGGACCCTGCACATCATTGTGGGAGACCTGGTGGAAGTCCTGGCTCTTGGTTAGGATCAGCTCAGCTCCAGCTGTTGGGGCCACTTGGGGAGTGAACCAGTAGACAAACAATCTTCCTCTCTGACTCTCCTTGTCTCTGTAATCTGACTTTACAATATAACTAAAAAAGTCTTTGAAACAACAGCAACAGTTACACCACCAACAACAAAAAATCATTATATCAAATAGGAAAATTAAAGCAAACACGAAACTGGAAAATTAAAAGTGGATGGATTTCTGGCTACATATAATTTCCCAAAACTGAGTCCTGAAAACATTGAAAGTCTAAGTAGACCAGTAACCAATAAGGAGACGAAATGGGTACTAAAGCTTCCCAGCCACCCTGAACCCTGCCTCCAAATATAACCCCTGACTGGCTGGTATTACTATTGAGTTCTATAAATATTTTAACAAAATTTAATCTCAATTCTTCTTTTTAATATATGTATGTGTATCTTTTTAATATATGTATGTATATATATATGTATATATATATATATTTCATTTCATTTTATGACACAGTTTCATAGGCTCTGGGATTCTCCCAACCCCTCCAAAAAAATCCTCCCCCCATATTGGGTTCCTCCATATTGTTACAGTTGCACAGTTCATATCCAGTCATGATTTGTTCAAAGCGGGCATGGAACATGCAGAGAGTTCAACATGTTATTGTCCAGATAAATTCAACAGTTTCATTGGGAGAACATCCCTGATTTGAAAGTAGAGCTGGCAGAATATCATCCTCTCCAATGAAAAAGCCACAACACAACTTCAACAATTTACAGCATTATGAAGTTAATTAACATGGTATTAAGTGACCAATATGTTAGAAAATGCAAGTTCTTAACCATATCCTGTGACTACTTCATTGACATTTCAAATCTAGTTTATACACAACTGGCTGCTATACACCTTAAAATGGTTATAGGGTACTATTCAGTTGTCTTGTGTCTATTTTCTATTTTTATATTTATATTTAGCAGCTTATAGTATGGAAGCATGATTTTTACTGAATATGGCAGCTTTTAGGATGGTCCAAATATGCTTATAACTCTAACAAGGCATATGTCGACAGTTGAGATGCAGAACAGTTTTAGGAGGGGTGTGCAGAGAAATTTCAATTCTTTAGTGAGGAGTAACTAATCTTTGTGTCCTACCTAGTAAGGTATATATGAGTCCAAGCTGACTGTTTCTTGTCTGTTCTAAGCTTTCCTTATTGGTCTCTATTTGATCTAATCTTTTTTTTTTTTTTGGTGGGGTGGGGGAGGTTCTGGAGCGACCCTGATGGTCATTGCAAGAGAAGGTGGGGATCCAAAGTTGGAACAAAGTAAGGACCAGAGAAAGCTCCTCTCCCAAGTTCCAATGGAAGTTTGTTGTTCTGTTTCTGAGGACCACTCAGGACTCCTGGCTGTTGTTCTGATGACATTAGATCCTCTGAGGAAGGATCTGGGCTTCCTTCATCCCATTTGGGAGATCCGATAGGGAATGGATGACCTCAGAGTTCTCGGCCTACAAGGGCACTCCAAAAATATGCAACGCTTCACAAATTTGCTTGCCATCCTTGTGCAGGGCCATGCTAATTTTCTCTGTATTGTTCCAATTTTAGTATATGTGATGCCGAAGTGAGCACATCTCAATTCTTCTTGAACTTGATACTCAAAGCAATCAAAAAGGAAGGAATCCGCACAATTTTCTTCTATAAGTTAAAAAAAAAATCTCCATGTTCTCCCTGACATGTGGCAGTTAATGAATGTACCTTAAAAAATTAGAAATGGCGTGTAAGAACAAAGCATTGGTTGTATGATTTGATTATTGTTTTTGTGCCATGACTATGCCATTTGGTACAGGGGTCTTTCTCCTTTGTAATTGCTCAACTTCATGTGTGATTGTGTGAAACCTGTGATTACAAAGTAAATTCAAATTATATTATTGCAAAAGGTAAAGGAATGCAAATAAATCACAGGGAGGACTGAAGGTAGAAGGGAGTGAGGTAGGATTGTCTCTTTGAAAAGTAGGTATGAAACACATGAAATCTGTTCTTTATAGTCACAAAAATAAAATATATACATATAATATGCATAGAATAATGGTACTTATGTAGCATGAGAAATCAGTATTAGATCTCTGTAATGGTCTAGATATTGAGCAATGCCAATGAGAGGAACATAATCAATGGATGAGAAAAACAAAGAAAATCTACCCAGTGTGGTTGACACCACGAGAGCATTACAGAATGGTCAAATTCAACTGGGGACAGAGTTTGGTGGTAATTCACTGTTCTGTATTTCTGCTGAGAAAGGTTTTAGTCAATGCACTAGATGGCAAGAGTTAGGGTTGATCTTGGACGCTTATGACAATGATGGTGGTTTTAGTCACTTTACTACAAGAATTGGAGAAACATCTCCCCTATGAACTTTTACAATAATAACTGATGATTGTTTGTGATGTATCAGCACAATTTGAAGGCCATTTCACTGCCTAAATATGAGTAGTAATACAGTGCAAAGAAAAGTCTTCCTTTTAATTTTCAAATTTTATTATTTTATGATACAGCTGCATAGGCTCTGGGATTTCCCTTTATCCCTGCCCCAAAATTCTCCATTCCCGTGTTTCCCCTTATATTATTAAAACAGCAAAGTTGTAATTGTCAAGATATATTTAATAGTTTCGCTGAGAGTCTATCTTTGATTTGGAATTAGAGATACATATTACATTGTATCTTCACATCTGGATATGATAGTCTCTATCACACAGTTATGACGGGGTGAAAGAAAAGAAACTTTCTATTTTTTTTTCAGTTTTTGGTTGCAAAGCAACATTTCTTGTCCCTAGGTGCACAGTTTTGAATCAGTTTGCTTAATATTTTCGGGTAAGACAGAAGTTTCTGTATATTTCTATATGAAACACTATAGTACCATTGTGTACCATTGCCTCAAAAGCAACAGCTTTTCATAATAACTTAGAAATAATCTTACTAATTAAGATTTCACCTTAAACAGACTTGTCTTTGCTCTGTATTACTTCTCATGTTTAGGCAGTGAAACGGTCTTTACATTTTCCTGATACATCAGGTACAATTATCAGTTTTACTGTCTGTACAGTAACTTTCCTACAAAAAAGACAAGGCTTGAATTTATGTGTCCAAAAACTAAAATAAATTCATCTTACATAAATGAGCAGTGTCATTGGCTGCAATTTACAGCTCAATGGAAATGTCATTTCCCTGCTTTCTGTCGCGCAGTGTGGAAGCTTTAAGTTCAGACTTTGAAAGCAGCACTGTCTGTTCCTGTTATTACCAGCGACGTTCCTGACAGCTCTCGCGTTAATAACACCAGATTGCTTGCGTTAGTGCTTTCTCTCTTGGAGCTTATTTTGTCATCATCTACCCCTTCTCGCCTGTTCTCAAACAGAATACTTTCTAATGAGATTTAGGAAAGTTATAAATTTTGAGACTCAGAACTTCCTTTTCCTGGCTGAGCTGACAGCATGTTCCAGCCTTTACTTAGGAAGTGATGCCTACACATCTTGGCTGGATTCCACAAAGGCAAGGAGGTAGTTGGAAAATTGTTCTTTTTCAGACATCATGTGCATGCTTAACGTGCTTAGGAGCGAGGAAAAGCTGTCATGAAGCACAGACCAAGCAAGACAAACAGCTGGCTTCCCATTTTTCCAGAGATATGGAAAAACAAACCTCAATTTTGCTTTTAATCTTAAGAAGTACCAAGACTATCTGGTTACTATTTTTAATCTGGACAATCATCAGAAGGGCTGCTTGTGTGTGTGTGTAATTGAGTGACTTTTTGCTAGATTGTACATTTTGGCATAATTAATAGGCCAGTTATAAAATGCAAAAAAAAAAAAAGAAAAAAAACCTGGAGGCTGACTCTCTGAAAGATATTTGTTTTTCAGAGGAGCAATGAATATGGTGATGATAATACTGTCTGAGAAGTATTAGGAAAGGTAGAAGATGATGGTGGCTCACAATATATTTGGTGAAGGAAAACAGAACTAAAAGCAAAATATCATGTCATTTCTGGGCCTCTTGCCTCTATTATAAACAATGAAAATTGGAATATCTTAGGGTTATTTCAAGGGAACAATGGTAATAAAACCTATACCTCATGACTTTGGGATGAGATAATATTCATGAAAGCTTTTGCAGCTATTTGGACAAAAGTAGATGGAACTATAATGTGACACAGTACTATTTTTGGAACAAAAAGCTACAGCTTTCTCCGAAACTTAAATTACCATGACGTATGATGGAAGATGGTGGTGAGACTTCTAATGATGTGTTTCCTTGTTGAATGCAGTTTTGCAGGTCCTTCCCCTCTGAAGAAATGGCTGATGGCATGAGCAGAAGCACGGGATGCAGACAGCTTCTCAACGTCACATCTGAAAGCAAGAGCTATACATGTATGACAGGAATAAAGAACATATCAAGCTACTCAAAGTTTAAAGCATTAAACATAAACCGATGCAATGCCAAATATGTAACTGTGTTATCATATCCATGGTCAAGAATGAGGAAATTTGAAGACTTAGATTATGAATCATAGGAAGAGAAACAGTGGGGTGGTTTAAAGGGCTAATCTTCTGCCTGCAGTGCCAATATGCCACGGGGTTGCTGTTTGTGTTCCGGTTGCTCCACTTCTGATCCAGATCTCTGCTTATGGCTTGAAAAAAACTGAGGAGAATAACCCAAGTGTTTGGCTCCTGTACCCTGATGGGAGATGCTTATGATACTCCTAGCCCCCAGATTAGGAGCAGCTCAGAAGTGAATGGGAGATATCTCTTTCCATCTCTCATCCTCTCCATGAAATCTGCTTTTTTGGACCCTGCATAATACAGTAGTGGCTAAATCCTTGTGTCTGCCAGAATCCCATATGGGTACCAGTTCCTATCTTGGCTGCTCCACTTCCCATCCAGCTTCCTGCTTATGACCTGGGAAAGTATTCAAGTATGTCCCAAAGCCTTGGGATCCTGCACATGCATGAGAGACCTGGAAGAAACTTCTGGCTCCTGGCATCAGATCGGCTCAGCTCCAGCTGTTGCAGCCACTTGGGGAGAGAACCAGCTAGTAGAAGATCTTTCCCTCTTTCCTTCCTTCCCTCTATATATCTGCTTTTTCCAATAAAAATAAATAAATAAATCTCTTAAAATATTTACCTTTAAAACCAAAACACAAAATCTTTAACAAAAAAAAAGGACAGCCGAAAGCAATCATATATTTTTCACTGTATATATTTTCTTCTCACACTGATAAAAAAAAAAAAAAACCTCACATTATTGTTGTTCCTACATGTTGTTTCCTCCTGGATCCTTATCAGCATTTTCATTCAATATTGTTTTTCATTGCACTATCCTTCTGAGGGTGATCTTGGCAATGATTATAGAAGAACACAATATAGAAAGAAGTGGAACTATTAAAACAAAGGGAGAATTAACTTTGACAGATTTTTTTTTGACAACAAAATAAAATGAGGATCATGAATCAGAAGGTGTCAAAAAGCTTCCAAAAGATGAAAGTTATTGTCACAAATCCAACTCTGACTCTGCAATCAAAAGCTATTCTGACAAGTAAGAGGAAAGATTCATTTCCCAAAGAAAGTTATTTGGTTGTACAGACTCACCAATATACTTGCATTTTAAAATGACTAGAACGTGTAGTACACTAAAAGAAGGCCCCAGTATCCAGTACAAACATATTGGAAAGATACAGTGTTAAACAGTGTTAGAACAGAGCCTGAACCCAGCTTGCCAGGTCACCACCTGCAGAAGCCTGTGTCCTCTACTCTGTAGGTTCCATCATTTCCGCCAGCATAGACTGACTGCTGTGTCTGCTCTACTAGGCTGTGATCTTCTCCAGAGAAAGAAATCCATCTTTATGTCTTCTACTTCTAGCAGAATCCCTGTTACAAGGCAGAACACTCCATAAACATTTGATAAATAAATGAAATATTGAGCTGACAAAATGTCAAGGGCAGCAAATTAAAGAACAGCTTTTAAAAGTCATCCATGGTACAAGATAATCAAAGAAAAGACGGACTTGCCGGTGACTATCACTAATTTAAAAAAAATTAATTTTTAGCAGGGGGCACAAATATTTTGTCAATAAAAATACTCTTGAAGAGAAAAAAAAATAGGATGTGCTAAATCTAAAGAGAGATTTTCTAAAAGGCATGGATATGGGAAAGGACAAATTTTTCCAGTGCTCTGTGTGTCTGCTGGCCTAGGTTGCCCTCCTTAATTGAATTATACTCTAGCACCAGAAAGAGTCTGTTCTGAATATAGGAGCGTTATAACATACTTAAATATTATAATGGGCTATCTTGAGGGAGACTGAGATTCTTACCACGGAAAATTTTAAGCAAAGCCTGGATTCTAACTCAAGATAGGAGCAAAAAGGGAGCTCACCATCAGAGGGCAGTGGACTGGATTATATTAATATTCATTCTCTTCAACTCTAAAGTTCTTAACTTACAAATCCTTTAAATTAATCTTTCCTAATAATGTGGCTGAATTCTTACAAATCTTTTAAGAAATTCATTATCTCCTGCTGTTAATTTTCCTTAAGGTATGAAATAATTTTAGAAGGAGATAAATGTGCATGGTGATTATAGATTTATT